ATTATGCAATTATTACATCGAGTGTAAATATTACATAATTTTTATGCAAATATTACAACTTTACATATTAAAATTTATGGACATAATATTGCGACAGGGAAAATTTCCTGATGATTGAGATAAGTTTCTTGACAAAGAGGTGTATTGTGATCCCAGTGGTAAAAAGTTCTTTTATTGGACCTGGTTTTCATTTTAAGACGTCTACTGGTGCTAGTTGATCCACCATCCTGTTCCAGTTTAGAAAGTGCTTGAAAGTATTCTCTTAATTCTGCAAAATTTTCTTTTGGGATTCTTGAAGAACAACCACAATTACATCCTTTTTCTAAAAAATCAATTGCCTTTTCATATTCATTAGAACCATCATGATTATTATTTACATTATTATTTTTCATATACATATAACCCTATATATATAATTTTATGTCCACTTTGTAGGTTTTTATTTCAAATAAATTGGCCAAAATCCTATTTATGTAGACAAAAAAATGATCAATCAAAGCAATGCTTTATTTCTATCTGTAAATTCTTTTAAAGCTAATACTAAGCATACATTGGAAACACAAAAAACTTCTTTATTTTTAAAAATTAAAGAATAGTTTTATCAATCATTGTAATAAAAATTTTTGATCAAGTATTTTTATATATATGAAATAAATTTTTTGTGTTCATTTATAATATCTATCATCTAGCAAAGAGGTTTTAATCTCTTTTATAAAGTATGCAAAAAATGTTACAGCAAAGAAAATATAAAGTTGTATGTTTTTGATTAGACAAAAAACATTTAATCACTTCCTTCCGTGCTTTTAGTTGTTTCTTGTGATTCCCTGTAAAAAAGAAAAGGCTGACATTATAGGAACACTTATGCAATGTAACAGCAATAATATAAAGAGAATTGAATAATGAATGCCACTTATAGACAAAATTTTTTACTGCTACCCAGACCACTAACTTGCATTTGCAGGATAGAGCCAATATAATTAGTTATTTTCTTTGCATCTGTCATATCATCACCATCAAACTTACAAAAATGAGATCCAGATGCTTCTAATTGAGGATTCTCTGGGGATCCAATCCATTTAAGAAAATACCATTCTAATGCATTTGTCACAATTAAAGACTAGTGCTGTAAATCATGATGATGGTAGTAATTGTATTTACGGCATATAAAAAGTGGTTGCAATTACCTTTGCAACCACTTTTGCAACCATACTTTTTCCTTTTTTGGATTACAGCACTAGTCTTTAGTCACAATACCATATATTTGTACTTGAGGTTCAGGTTCCATATCTGTCTCATCTATCTTTTTGCTTTTTGTTTATTTTCTGAAGATGGAATGTTAGATGTCAATAAGCAAACAATAAAAAACAGAATATAGTATGTACAATATTTCATTTACCTCCACAGCACTATGCATTTGCACAATGTTCTGGACAGCACCTTTCTCAAAATCCTCTTTTTTTAGCTTCACAGACAAATAAAACAAATTCCTCAAGATGTACAGAATATTCAACAGGACCAAAACCATGACTTCCATCAAGCCACTCTTTACTCTTGAGACAAAGTTTACTTTCTTTTAACTGGACATGTTCAACAGCTGCAGTCATAAAAGCAGAAATAAACTCTCTGCAGGTGCTCTCATTACGATTAATGTGAATAAAGGTCTTTTTTTTTCTCTTGAGTTCACCAATAAAGGAATTAACTATATCATCAGAAATTTCTGGATCTGGTTGTGTAAATTTTTCTGTTTAAAAAAAAAGCACACATGTAGATTATAAATCACTCTGATAAATAATCCAAAATAAGAAAACATTGCAAGAATGTTACCTATGTCAAACTGATTGATGTCACCTACTGATGATCCACTCTTATGCAGTAACTTCTCAAAAACTTCACTTATTTCCCATTCTCCATATGCCTTCTTTCCTATAATGAAAAGAAAACAAATGAGTATTCACTTCACTTGTGTATCTAATTTAAAAAAAATTGACCAACCTTGAATTCAAATTGAAAGACTGATCTCATATTCACCACTTTCATTCAGTTTAATTTTCTCCGCTACTTTATTGAGTGCAAACTCATTTTCAACCTGTTCTTCACCACTTTGCTTTTTATCTTCTTTATAAATAAAAAAATATGAAGGGTTTCCTGCTCTCAAAGTTTCAAAGTTTGTTTCAGCTTTGTGACATAGAAGACACCAAAGGCCACTTGTGTGTGGAAATCTACACTTGAACCAGGATACAGATAAGTTGCAATGAACTATGACTACAAACAATATACAGGTGTAAATGTGATGGGTGTATAGATTTGAAATCAAAAAGATAAAAATATTTATTTTACCTTCAGAACTAGAGAATGGGTAACATACAACCAAAGGACTTGCATCAGTTGTGCTCAAATTCGTGACAAGAGTACCTTTTCAGAGAGGGTTGATCCTGTCATCATAGTTAAAGAATTTGAGGAGTTTTGGTTTAATATTTTTGAAGGTATCTTCTTCTTTACGAAGTTTACATGCAAGATCATCCAAGTTTGGTGGTGAGGTGTTCCATTCAACAGGAAATTGTGTAGGACCTGGATCACCTTCAACAAGAATCCAAAGTGTTAACTTCTCACAACATAATGACATTGCTGATGACACTTGTGACATTTTTGTTTTATTTTACCTTCTAAATTTTTAAAAAGCAAAAGTTAATGTTAAGTGATAAAGTATATTATTATCTTTTATTATTATTTAAGTATATACAAAATAATTTACAACAATTACATTTGTAGTACAAATGTTAACTTTGTCTGGTTTTGTTGCAGCATGCCCAGGACCTTGGACAATTATAATTGAACTGGTATTGAGAAAAGTGGGTAGTGAGTGATCTTGTTAAAATACCAATCAGATCTTCAAGCATTTACATACAGTGAACCCTCCCTAAGTGCATCCTCCCTAAATGCACACACTATGTATACCCTCCATAAATGCACACCCTCCATAAATGCACACTCACAAGAAATAGCACTATGTTCCCAAGGGGGGTGCACTTATAGAGGGTTCACTGTAATAAAAATTGGGTTTTTAAAAAATCTGAAAAAGGAAACTCACTAGCCATTTTAGTAAAATATTCTGAGTATTTTCACAACTTTTTATGTTTTCTTACATACCAGTTCAAATATGATTGTCCAAGGTCCTGCATGCCCCATATATACTTTTTTAATTGTTATCAATTGAAAAATAATCAACCAATGATTTTCTATATTGCTGCTGCTGCCAATGTTTCTTTCTTTTTTCTTTTTTGTATTCTTTTAACAAATGCTAAAATAGATTTTGTCAATATATCAATGTTATATCAGTCCATTTTAATATGATTTGTTTTTCCTCTGATTAGGGTAAAGTTTGATTAGGGCTTTTCCAGGTGGAAGTTTTTCAAGAAGAAGTAGTTGCATCTTTAAAACTCTTCCATATGCCATCTAGTAAAAAGGGAATTATGATTTAGATCATATTTAATTGTGACACATGACCCAAGAACTAGTCTTTTAAAAGAGTCATCAGGCACTGCAATTACTAGTGGTTTTGATATTAAGGTAATAAACATTGAGTCACAACCAAAAAACCAAGAAACAGACAACTGTAACAATTTCTTCTCATGTTAAAATTAGTAATTAGTAAGGCCCACTAAATCAAAATTCTAGGATGAATTTCTTCAGAAGCCAAAAATCAAAAAATTTAAGTGATCATAGTAAAATCTATATCATATAGAACTGGTCAAAACCAAACTTTATAATAAAAATTAATTTTTGATCATTATAATCATCCTTCTAATGCAATTAAGATTACGTTTTGTTTGTTGTGATGGTGCTGAAGAAATTGTTGTAGTTGTAAAAAAATTCACAGATGGAAGACAAAACAAACAATTAATCTTATCATCATTATTATCATGATAATATCACCATTCTTTAACTTCTAAAAAAAAATCATTCAAAAAATTAATTATCATCATATACATCAGGATCTTTGAATGCATCAAGACAATAAAAGCCTTTTGGCTCTTTTGAATAAACAAAACAAGAAAATGCCACTTTGGATTGTTCACCACAAGGTCCATTTGCCATTCCTCCTAGACAAGGACAATCCCAGTTAATTTCTCCTGTTTCCTCATTGTATGCGTCTTCTTTGTTTTCCTCGCCGTCTTCTGCTTTGAATTCTTTTGTTGTTGTTGTTGTTGTTGTTGTTAATAGTGATGTAGATGATTTTGTATTATTATCATCATCAAATTTTATTATATTAAAAATTTTATATATTATTAATTTTTTTTTTAATTTTTTAAAAAACCACTTTTTGACTTTATAGATCTATCGATACTGCTAACATCATTATCGTTACTCATTACTGCTACTACTAAAAGCTGTTTTTAAAAATACATCAATAGTCAACGGTGTAAAATGTAATAATATTCATTATAATCAAAAAAAATTTTTTAAGTATAAATAAACTCCTAATCAAAAAAAATTCAATCAATATATAGGACAAGGACATCAAGAAGTAGAAGTCGACCAAGGAGTCGACCTCCACGCTCCATATCACGCTCAAGAAGTCGTCATTCTTATTCATCATATTCTTCACGTAGTGGTTCCTATTCTAGTAGTAGAGAAAATAGATCACCAGTACCAGCAGCACCAACAGCATCAACAACAAGAGGCCGTAACTCCATTAGATCACCACCGCCAGCTTCTTCTTCGCGTCATCACAATTACACCTCTTCTTCGCGTAGACAACGACGTTCCTCTTTATCGCCCATACTTCCTACAAAAATTATGGTTAATAAATTAACAAAAAATGTTAAGGAAGCTCATTTACAAGAAATATTTGGTGCATTTGGTAGGATTAATCGAATAGAAGTATTGATTGATGAAAAATGTATGTGATGATGTCATATATTCATTAATTGGGTGTTAAAAATTTTTTTAAAAAATTATCTGAATGAAAATATATTGTATATTTTCAAAATTTTAAAAAGGGCAAACAAATAAAGGTACAGCTTATATTGATTTTGAAACTGGAAACGATGCAGAAAGAGCTATAAGTTATATGGATGGGGTAATTAATGCATTAATCATTAATCATTAATTCTTAATTTTTAATAAAATATTTAGTAATGCAATTAACTAATATGAAATAGGGTCAACTTGATGGAAATACGTTATCTTGTACATTTGTTCCACGTCGTCAACCATCACCACCTCCAATTAGACGTAGACGTATGTATTAATTTTTAAAATATATATAAAATATGGTTGATTCATGATTTATTATATATTGATTGCTATTGCCGTCACCATCATCATTATTATTTTATTGTAAAAAGCAATTATGAGATACAATTCGCCACCACCGTTTCGACGATTTACAGCTAGCAGTTATCGTGGACGTGGAAGATCTCCAAGAAGATATTCTAGATCTAGATCAAGATCACCACCAGTTCGTCGCAGAAGATCTTATTCTTACAGTTCCTACAAGTTCTTCATCATCAAAATCATCTGTTCAAGATTATGTGTCAGTTAACAAAGATCAACCTAACCTTTTAAATGATATAAATGAAAGATTACCTGCTAATACTACTACATTCAAAAGCTGTAATAGCAGAAAGTTGATTATTAAAAAGTAAAGTATATATTTTAAGCTTTGTTTCATTTTGCTAAATATAATTGTCGCTAATTCATTTAATATCGAGAATAAAATTTGTGAATTGGGTGTCACATAAATACGCTAATAATATCACGTAATTATTTTTAAAACACATTTCAAAAAATAAAACATGTCTTTAATAGAGTCTGACAACAAAGTGCTGATCAACACTAGAGCTGGAGGCGTATATATTCCACCTGCTAGATTAAGGCAACTTCAACAAACTATAACTGACAAATCTAGCCAAGAGTACCAAAGAATCACCTGGGAAGCTTTAAAAAAAAGTATAAACGGTTTAATCAACAAAGTAGGTAAAAAAAAAGTTGATCCACTACCTGTCCGTTCAAAACTTGTGAGTTTTTAAGTTGCTAACTAATTCATATTTACTTTTTTTCAAAATTAGGTTAGCGTTTCAAATATAAAGAGCATCGTAGTTGAACTTTTTGGTGAAAATCTAATAAGAGGCAGAGGTCTTTTTGCAAGATCTGTTATGAAAGCACAGGCTGCATCATTACCTTTCACTCCTGTTTATGCAGCTTTAATTGCAATAGTTAACACAAAATTGCCTCAAGTTGGTGAATTGGTGCTTATTAGACTCGTTGCACAATTCCGTAAAGCATATAAACGTGATGACAAGGTATGTCACTTATTTTATTGTCTATGGATAATAACAATATTCATGGATACTAATAAAAGAATTAAAATATTATTTTAGAATGCATGTTTAGCAACAACAGCCTTCATTGCTCATCTTTGTAATCAATTAGTTGCTGATGAGATAGTTGCACTACAAATACTAATGTTATTGCTTAAACATCCTACAAGCGATTCTGTTGAGGTAGCTGTAGGATTTATGCGGGAAGTTGGCGCCCATTTAACAGATATTACTCCGAGAGCAACTAATGATGTTTTTGATCGTTTCAGAACAATATTACATGAGGCTAATATAGAAAAAAGAGTTCAATATATGATTGAAGTTTTATTCCAGACTAGAAAAGATAAGTTTAAAGATAATCCATCGATCATTGCAGAATTAGATCTGGTTGAATCAAAAGATCAAATTACCCACTATATCCAGTTAGATGATGAATTAGATGTACAAGAAACACTTGGTATATATTTATTTGTTTATTTATTTATTTATTTATTTGTTTGTTTATTTATTTATTTATTGTTTATTTATTTATTTAAATTATATTTTAAACTTTTATTTTAATTTTATCATTAATGTATATATATAGGTATTTTTCAATATGATATTGACTATCTTCAAAACGAACAAAAATATGATCAGATCAAAAAAGAAATATTGGGTACTTCAGATGATGAAGAAGATGATGATGAATCAGGAACTGATAATGATGGCGACGATGATGATGATTCTGAAGATGATGATGATGAGGACAAAGGTTTATAAAAGTTTCTAAATATTATATTTCATTATATCTTTAAATATTAATTGGGGTCTATAATTTTTTATAGGTGCAGTGGAGAAAATGAAAATTATTGATCAAACAAATACAAATATCATAAATTTACGAAGGGCTATTTACCTTACCTTAAAGTCAAGTCTTGATTTTGAAGAATCTTGCCACAAGATTATGAAAATGAACATTAAAGAGGGTCAAGAGGTAATCTTCGTTTTATATATATATAATTTTTTTGTAAATTTGATTGTTACAACCGAAATACTCAATATTATTGTTATTTTTCCTTTGTGATTTAGATGGAGTTATGTTTGATGATAATAGAATGTTGTTCTCAAGAAAGAACTTACGAAAAATTTTTTGGACTTATTGGTGAAAGACTTTCCAAAATCAATGCAATATGGGCAAAAACTTTTGAAAAATGTTTTGTTGAATGCTATGAAACAATCCATCGTTATGAGTCAAATCGACTACGTAACGTTTCAATGTTTTTTGCACACATTCTATCAACTGATGCAATTTCCTGGGAAGTCTTCCGAGTAATAAGACTCACTGAAGAAGACACTACATCCAGTTCAAGGATCTTCATTAAAATATTATTTGAAGAACTATCCTCTACATTGGGTATGGTCAATTTAAAAAATCGTTTAAAAAGTGACCCTGTTATATTATCAGATTGGACTCAAGGACTATTTCCTAAAGATAGTCCAAAAAACACTCGATTTGCAATCAATTATTTTACGTCTATTAAATTAGGTGCATTAACAGATGATCTTAGAGAACATTTGGCAGTAAGTATATTAAAAATAGATTTGGTTGTTTAAAAAATTTTTTTGTTATTATTAAAAAACTTTACCAACTAATTCAAATTACCTATAAATTTTTAAGAATGCTACAAAATTGCTTGCAGCACAAAGCAAAAAATTAAGTGAAGATACATCATCTGATTCTTCATCTGATTCTTCATCTGATTCTTCAGATGACGACGATGATTATAGTGATTAATGATAGATGATAATAATGCAATGATGATATGATAATATTATTTTCGGATATATTAATTGTTATAAATATTATAAAATAAAAACAGAGATTAATAAAACTATTTAAATACAACTATTTTATTAACTAAAAATGAAAAATTTTCAAATAAAATAAATATTTATATAAAATGTTTAGGCTTCTGTTTCAAGGAAGAAGTAATTGCCATTCAATTTTTGGTCTTTATCTTTTGATGATCCAACTTTATTAATTCTAGGCCTAAAATTAGTTGGATCACGTCTAAATGTAATCTCCAATGATGAAAGGAATTTATTCATTCCTGATAATAAAGATTGCGGCCTATATGATTTTTGACAAATTATCAATAAGATAGATAAATATATTGGAAAATAAAATTTAAAATAATAAATTTAAAAAACTTACGTATTAGCAACCGCTTTAACAGAAGGTTGACCTTCATATACAACAACACGATCTGCTAAATATGTAGCCATTATAAAATCATGCTCAACAACAAATGCAGTCTTTTTATTGTGTAAGATAAACCTATAAATGGTGATAATATTGTTATTATAAGAATTAATGAGATTTTAAAGAATGAATGTAATATAATGAGCATTTGTGTACCTTTTGATAACTTTTGCAGCAATAATACGTTGTTCTGAATCTAAATAAGCAGAAGGTTCATCAATCAAATAAATATCAGCAGGTTGACCTAATGCAAGCACAATAGCAACACGTTGAAGTTCACCACCAGACAAATGTATAACTTCTTGATCTATAATAGGATCAATTTGCATAGGTTTGACAACATCAGTTTGAAATTGTGCATGCATAAATGCTGGTTTGATCTTTTGAAGAAAAAGTGCTCTGACTGTTCCTTGATATTTAGGTGAAATCTTTTGAGGTTTATAACTAACATTTAACTCTGGCACATGTTCTTCACCATCAGGTTTTGTTATACCAGCTAGAAGACGGATAAATGTTGTTTTTCCTGTTCCATTTTCACCAAGCATAACAATAATTTCTGAATCAGTAAACTCTCCAGCATTAACAGTCAGATCAAAATCACCTAAACAATAATTAAGATATATATTATTAATACACAATATTCATAAAATTTTCCGGAGATTTTGTTTATAATTAATACATCATTATTACCTAAAGTTTTCTTCATGTCTGGATATTGATATCTTCTAAATTTATCAACTTCTTTTTCATCTTCTGCGGTTTCTGCTAATTTAAAAGTCAAAGATTCATCACGGAATCTTAAATTTTCCGTTGGCACTTTACCATCCAAGAAAATATTAATGCCTTCACGAACAGTAAAAGGCATAGTAACGACACCATATATTGATGGCATTCCATAAAGCACACAAATAAAATCAGAAAGATAATCTAAAACTGACAAATCATGTTCAACAACGATTACATAACTAAATATAATAATTAATTCAATAATTAATATAACGATAATATTGTTATTGTTATTGTCATTAATATAAATACTTTTATTAACCTTTCTGGTTTTAATAAAGATCTTATTGTTCTGGCTGCTTTTAGACGTTGTTTAACATCCAAATAAGATGAAGGTTCATCAAACATGTAACTATAATGAAATTCGTAAATATTTAACGATTAATATTTGAAAAATAATTAGATCTTTTTAATTCAAAACTTTTACATATATTTATTCATTATATGGGACTTACATATCAGCATTTTGAATACACACAACAGCAATAGCAAAGCGTTGAAGTTCTCCACCAGATAATTCATTAACTTGACGTCTCAGTATTTCACGCAAATCCAAAGCATCAATCATTTCTTCCTTATTATCACGTTCTAACTTTGCATCAATTAACTCAGTAACTACACCTTTAACAGCTCTTGGAATGTGATCAACATATTGTGGTTTGATAATAGCCTAATATGTATATTTTATCTACTTGTATTTAATTAGAAAATATTTTATTATATTTGGAATAAAATAAAAAATTACCTTTAAATTATCTTCTAATATTTTTGTGAAATAATTTTGTAATTCTGATCCACGAAAGTATTTTAGGATTTCTTGCCAATCCGGAGGATCCTTTTATTGTACAATATATCAAAATTAAATAAATTAATGAATTAATATAAACTATATTATATAATTCAAAGTAGTAATATTAAAGAATTTATAATTACATCATATCTTCCTAAATTAGGTTTCAATTTTCCTGCCAAAATTTTCAAAGCAGTACTTTTTCCAATACCATTTGTACCAACTAATCCAAGTACTTGACCTGGTCTAGGAATAGGCAAACGATGAAGTTTAAAAGAGTTGGCAGAGTAACGATGAGTTACCAATTTTTCTAGATTAGTTGGAAGGTTAATGATCATAATAGCACCAAATGGACATTTTTTGATGCATATACCACAACCAATACATAATTCTTCTGAAATATAAGCAATCTTGCTATCAGGTGTCACCTCAATACAAAGTTTACCTATATATTGTATAAAGTTATTAAAAAAAATTTTTATTGAATCGTTTTTTCTACCCGATGAAGATGGTGTTAACTGACTTACCCATTCTAACCACTGGACAAGATTTTTTACACTCTTGTCTACATTTTTTTGGTTTACACTTGTCCGAATTTACAATCGCAATCCTTGTAAGTTTGTCAGTCATTTTGTATTATTTTTACAATAAAAAATTTTTAAAACTTTACTGATTTGTGACGTATTTTATCAATTTCTATTGGTTTGGTTTGATTGGTTGATAAATAAATAACAGGGGTATTCCCCGATATTTTTGATCGGTCCCAATTATACTTAGGGGTCACCACCCTCGGCATCAGGCGCAGGAAAGGAGCGCTATATAATAAACATCTCATCTTTTTACACACAACTTTGCAAATGAACTCCTTTCAGTCATGACACCAGAACTGGTTCCTCATAACTTCATTCGTGATGAATGAATATGGTGAGATTTGAAAAGTTTTTGGCTGTTTGTTTCATATGCTCACTTTGTCTTGTTTTGTTGCAGCACGCTCCATATGGGACCAAGAAAAGACCGTGCAGTGCAGAACATAGAAGGAATACATTTATCTCCAAGTCCCAAGTTTGAGACTTGGACACAGGGTACACTTATGGAGGGTACAATTATAGAGAGTTGATTGTATATCAATTGATTGACTACTTAAATATAATATTATAACAATAAAAGAATTTTATGTTTTATTGATTTCCCAATACCTTTTTTTCAAAATGCATATTAATATATTTTTCTAAAAAAACTATTATAAATTATAGATTAATAAAATTTTGTACCTATCTATCATAAATATTGGAATAGAGTTGATGTTATACTAATAAGATAATAAAAGATGAATTAATATATCAATATATTAACATAAATATAAATTACTATCATCACTTACTTTGTTAAAAATCTAATTAATACAATTTTTTTAAATTTAGAAGATAGAAGGAATGAAAGAAGGAATGTGAGAGGAAAGAAAAATTGGTACAATTAAATCTAACAGGCTATTAAAAAATATATAGAATAATAA